CTGCAGGAAAATTATGTCGCCACCCTAGTCAGGATGAGTAACCTCAACAAGAGCTGAAGTAGTGCTGAACATGGATTTTAACTCAGATTAGCCATTTGAATTCAACTCGGGGATCATTTGTATATTTGCTACTGACTTACTGAATTTCCTTGTCTTCTCTGTTATCTTAACTTAAGGTAACTAATTCCGTTCAGACTTAAGAACATTTTTTACCTGTCAGCATAGAATATAGGTTAAACTCCCTAAGATGCAGTTAGTTAATTGAAAAGTATGATGAAGACACATCCACTGTGGGCTTACTCTGTTGAAGCTGATGCCAGTGCTGTGACCGATTTGCAACAATAGATTAAAGCTGGATGGATGGAGCTGTTATCATCACCCTCTCTCATTTGCTCTGTCCTCTTAAATGATGATGCTATCTCCATAGCAGGGCCTCTGATCCACAGGGAATCAGGCCCTGAACTGGCATGGATTTTGGTCCAGAATAGCAAAGCAAACTGAACTCTCAGGAGGAGTCATCACTAGGGTTATCTCATATAAATTTGCCACCATAACTCTGTCAGAGACCAAAGTAACAAGGTGTACTATCCCCCTGGAAAAAGTATAAAATCATACTATAAAGCTTTTCCTTAAAGAGGAGAAAAGGCTACCATTTGCTGACAGTAGAGTTTTTGAAACGTAAATTGACATGGCTCTGCTGTTACCTAACCTGAAATGACCTATCTGAGGACTAAATGTGTTCTTGTACAAACACAATCTCTGTGTGATATGGAGGACCCTGTAATTTCCTTTTCTGTAATAAAGCAAGGAAAAATGAGATGCATCACACATCCTACAAAACACTTTCAGGTCAGCGTGTTGTCTGAGCTTGTGCAGACCTATGGAGTGCTTGTGATCAGAGATAAATGGGACCCAAATTTCTGAAATGAGGGCAAGTAAAACAAGCATGGCTGTGTTTTCTGGCTTTCTTTAGTATGACAGCTTGAACATTATTCCACAGTAAGGCCAGGCCTGACTTGTCAATACAGTGGCAAACAGTGTGAAGGAGAGCCATGATGTTCAATATTTAGAGATTATAACCCAGGACACAGTTAGGGGGAATGAAACTTGTAGGAAGAAAATTGCTATTGGGAAACTGTTAGTGGTACACAAACACTGAAGACCAAGCCTGAGGGGAAACACCAACCATAGCACTTGAGGTTGCCAGTCACACTAATATGACACATCGTTACCAGCCACTTGCAATGGTTAACCAAAATCCATTTTCTCATCCCAAAATCCATTTTCTCATCAGTTATACTGGCTACTGTCTTCTGAGGGATGGAAAAATGAGCACATCATGACACTGGCTTTGAAAATATCTCTTACAAAAGGATATAATCCATCCTTCTTACAAAGGAATAATCCATCCACAGCTATTGCTCACTGATAGTTATCGCAGGCTAAAGCTTACAAGTCTTCTGTAGACACATGAAAGACACACTGACACACAAGTCATGGGAAGGTCACAAAAGATTGAACAGCATCCATCATTCAAACCAAGTAGAGAAACAAAGGGATTACTTGTTTTCCTTCTGTAAATGATAGACAGCAGCTAGTTCTTTGATCTGTACTCAAAAGGTGTATCTATAGCCTAAGTATTTTGCTTTTAATTCAGCAAAAATCTTTTAGTGTTTAAGTTCAGCTGAAATTACATTTGAGTGTGTGCTAAGGAGAACTGGGATTGTTGGACCTTTGAAGAGAGGTGAGACTGAATTTTTAATTCTCCTAAGTTTCCCTGTTTCTTTAGGGTGTATTCAAGTGAACCATGTTTGTAGTGACCTGGTCTGGATGTTGCAAAAGAACAGCTCTGTGCTAGAGGTTGCAGTGTTGGAATAGAGAAAGACCCTGGGTCAAATTCAGATGAAAAGAGGCACCAAACATCATGGGAGGCTCAGTAAGGAGCAGCAGAGTTTATATGATATGAGGACTGTGAAATACATTGTACTGTTCATATAACTCCTGTGTTCTCCCTAAGCTTTAAATGTCTCACAGTGGACCATGTTACTTCTGATTTTAGGTACCTTGAGGAAAGAGTCACAGTATGCTGGTGACATGCACTGTGGGGAACATCTTCCCTAGAGCTGCCCGTAAATCTGAACCTGAGCTTCCCATATGTGGGAATCAGCAAATTTCTGCCTGAGAGGTTGCTTGAAAAAGCATACGAAGGAAAGCACTGTGATGAGGCTCAAATATGAGAGCAAAGATGACTTGGTTTTCATTTATTGCTCGTATTTTCCTTCTTGTAGTGGTGAAATACAGTACCTGTTATTTGTGGCATCCTTTACATTACACTGAATCCCACCCTTGCTTTTATTGTTAAGTTTTTGGTTCCGATTGCACTTGCTAAGGGAATCTAAGGAAGAATTTTCGGTCTCCAAAGCACAGATTGAAACCAGTGCTGTTTCACCAAGTTTAGCCAGAGTAGCCTATCTAAGGATACTGGCCTCACATCACATCATGGCTCTAAATACCTCCGCAGTGCACACTGGTACTTACTGTTGGACAGCTATAGATCCTCTTTTTCAGATACTGGAAGAATGGGGATGATTGTAACCTGAAAACTGAGGGGCTTAGGGGGTGGGAAATCTATTTCACAACATTAAAACAAGAACATAGCAGGGAATATACTGCAACAAATTGATGCCTGTCGAGTATCCTTGCATCTTTTTTCATGTGTTGTTGGTCAGTCAGCCTCGTCTAATTCTTGTCCCACCCATTGTTTTCTCTCTCCACTGCAGGGCCACCTCTGTTATGTCATTTTAAACTTGTTGCAGTAAACAGTATACCTGCCTCTGTGTTGTGTCAGAAATAGAGCATTTTTGGAATTTTCTGCTTAATCTAGTATTTGTCAGAACATGTTGACTCGTCAGAAGTGAATCTGCAGGAATGTATCGGTTTTAGCAGTTTCTTGAGTTGAAGTGCTGGTTGAAAAGAGGCAGACAGACCACACGCCCACTCCTCCCAGTGCTGGGACCTTCACTTCACACTGGCCAGGCAGGAGAGGAACACAGTTATTCTTGGGTTGAGTGTGACTTTTGGGTGTTTCACACAAAGTTTGAAAGCTCTTGGTTTCATCCCAGCACAGAGCAGGAAAAATTCCATAATAGCAAGGTGTTACAGGGAATGAGAAAATTGTTTCCTACCCCATACAATATAGAAGTCAGTACTCTGTGTACTGGGACTATTTTTGAGTTATAGCAATATACCTGCTCTTTTTTTTTCTTTTAAGTGTTAATCCATACTAGATTTGTTTCCAGGATTCTGTTATCAGGAATTAGTACCAGAAAAATGTTACTGATTTGAAAGAAAATCTTTATTCTCAATACTAAAAGTGTGACTTGTTCTTACCAGCTAATTCTTGCAAATAGCCTGTGTTTCTGATTTTTATCCCCAACTATCAGTCATAATTCTTATCAAATAACAGTTAGGAAGACCTTTTTTTTTTTCCAAAACCTATTATTTTGTGTAATTAAGGAGGTAAACCACAGAAAGAATTCAGTGGATGCTGAAATAAAATGTCACAAGAAATGCAGGAGAATTATTGATGGATTGTTTTACCCAAACTGGTGAAAACACTGAATTTATAAACAGCTGAAACAGCTCTGGTCTATAGTCATCTTTTCATTTTGCTTAAAGTCCTAATGAAATAAAAAGTCCAAACAGATTCCTATTATTAGTTTGTAATTTTCAAGGTCATCTATTTTAAATTCTTTCAGTGGTCACAAGCATTTCTTGATTAGCAACAATTGCCTAACTATAGTCAAACTAGAAGGATTTTCCCAAACTATGTGATCATATTGCTGTTAGAATGCATAATTGTTTTCTCCTTGAAGAAGCTAAATTTGGCTTAACAACTGTGTCATGACGTTAACAGAAAACGTCTGGTGTGACAGGGCATAATGTAGATACTGCGCTGAAACGCTCATAACCACAGTTCATTTAATTGATCTTTCGAGAGGGTGAAATATCACACTAGTCATCTGCCTTTGGTTCTCCAAGCCACATCAAACAATTGTATGGAGATGTAAAAAAAAAAGAGAAACGATAGGTTGTTTGATTTCATCAGTTAATGGCCGTAGGTCATTTGATAGCCCTTTGTTTACAACACAGTGATCGGCTGTATCTTGTAAAGGTTCACCAGAGTGACTTACTGCTGTGGTACAGGGCCTAAAATAAAGCTTGCACATGCCAGGCACCACATGATGCATAAAGTATTCTAATAATATATTACAAAGCCTTGTCAACACTAGTGAGAATGAGTATTCCAAGAAGTAGAGCTGGCTGAAAAAAAACATTCTTTTTTCCAAACTGGGCCTTTATGAAAGACAGTGATTTGGGGAGCTGGAGGGAGAGAGAGAGGAGTTTCTTCCTTTGGTCTGGTGGAGAGAAGTCTCTTTCTTGGTTAATCAAAAATGTCAATAGACATTTTAAATATCCATGTTATTTCATGTCTTTTCTATTTCTTACATTTGAGCTTAGCTGTGCCAGCTTTCTCAGCTCAGCCCCTTGAGAACTTGACAAATGTCTTATATCCACACACTGAAGGGCTCCAATTGCTTTGTGTGCTTTGTGACCTGAGCGTCCTGGGCAGTTTTGCTTTTAACTATGTGTACACCATCCTGTTTTAAACTGTATCAGTCAGCTGATTTAATGCCCATGTGGAAGTAGTCATCTCTCTTTTGCTGCTCTACAACATGCCAAATGGTCTCGAGAAATTCATCATAAGAAAACCCTTCTGTGAATTGTTCTAAAAGCAGTGAAATGGGTACCCGCAAAGAACAGTAATCATAGCAGTTTCTAGCACAACTCTTATGACACTAAGCAAAATTATGACCACTTCTTAAACTGAAATACATCAGCTACTCTATGCAGCCTAGAAATGGATTTCTGTTGATTAATAAACTGATGTTTTAGTATATGAAATATAAACACTATTTCCTTTAAATATATTTTGACAGATTAAATCTCTGACAATGAAGCCCTTTACTGCATATCCTTCTGGGTTTATCGTATTCCTGTTTACCTTGCTGCAGAGGAGCCATGGACAATGCAAAGAAGCAGCTAAAAAATCAGAGATGAATTTCAGTGTAAAATATGATCTTCCTAACTTCATCGCAGAAACACCAATTCAGAATGTAGTTTTATACAAGCATCATGTTTATGTTGGAGCAGTCAACAAGATTTATGTACTAAATGAAACTCTCCAGAACATTTCTGTGTACAAGACTGGGCCTGTTTTGGAGAACCCTGACTGTGTGCCATGTGAAGACTGCAGAGATAAAGCCAATTTATCTAACAGCGTATGGAAGGATAATGTCAACATGGCACTGCTCTTAGAAACTTATTATGATGATCAGCTCATCAGCTGTGGTAGCGTGTCCGGAGGCATCTGCCACCGTCACATCATTCACCCTGACAACCCTGCTGACATTGAAAGTGAGGTGCACTGCATGTACTCACCTCGGGTGGATGGAGAAGCAGATAATTGTCCTGACTGTGTTGTAAGCCCTTTAGGAACCAAAGTTTTGGTGACCGAAAAGGACAGGTTTGTCAACTTCTTTGTTGGAAATACTGTGACATCTACATTTCAACCTCCCTATGTGCTGCATTCTATATCAGTTAGAAGGTTAAAAGAAACACAGGATGGTTTTGAATTTCTCACAGATCAGTCTTATATAGATATCCTTCCTCAGTTTCGTGACTCGTATCCCATTAGGTACGTCCATGCCTTTGAAAATGATCACTTTGTGTATTTTCTGACTGTACAGAGAGAAACTCTTGACTCACAAGCTTTTCACACTAGAATTATCCGCTTCTGCACTTTAGACTCAGAGATGCGTTCTTACATGGAAATGCCTCTTGAGTGCATTTTTACTGAAAAGCGAAGAAAGAGGTCCATCCGAAAGGAGGTATTCAACATTTTGCAAGCTGCCTATGTAAGCAAACCTGGTGCAGCTTTAGCCCACGAAATGGGCCTTGGGTTGAACGATGATATTCTCTATGGTGTTTTTGCACAAAGCAAACCAGACTCTTCTGAACCAACCAAGAGATCTGCTGTCTGCGCTGTCTCTGTGCGAACCATCAATGAGTTCTTCAACAAGATTGTTGACAAGCAGAACATGAAATGTCTCCATCACTTTTACGGGAAGGAGAGCAAATACTGCTTGAACAGGGTAAGTGATAATTGATTTGCTATATTTTGGAACTTTTGTTCTCTCTTGGCCTACTCTGTTGCCAGGTATCCGTCCTTTCAGTTTCAGTTACAAAATCTAAGTTCCTGATTATTTCAGGTTACTTAGCATTGCTGATGATTCATCTCTATAAGGATTAGTTCCTGCAAATTGAGTATGAAAATCACTGAGGTCTTTATGGTGCAAAAAAATGTAGTAGTGGGACTGGGGGAAAAATCTTTTTTTTTTAGTTTGTAAGGTTTTTTCCTTGGGAAACTGTGATGCAGATAAATGGAACGTTTAGGTGGTTATTTCTTTTCATATTTCAAAAAGGTGTTCATAAACATTCATATCCATGTGCACTGAGGAGTCCCTGAGAACATCACTCATATTTAAAACTGTGTTAATGCTGAATCACTGCCCTCCTCAGAAAAAAATGAAAGAGATTGTTTGAAACATGCTGCGAAGAGCTAGACTGTAATATGGTTACTCATACTTGGTACAGAAATGGTCCAATTGACATCAGTTTTCTTCATGAAAGAGATGTCTATGAGAAATGTATCTGAATGAGGGTACAGGTGGTCTCGGGTGGAAGGGTTGCCTTTCTGTACACTGAGTTCAAGTGTTTGCTCCTCTCCATACATCTGAAATACTGTGAGCAGAGGAAACATAGAAATTATCCCTTTCCCTTCTGGCCAGTGTTTGTGCTGGTTTCAGCTCTTGTAAAAGGAATGCCTAATCTGGGAATCAGGTACTTTTAACAATTACTTTGGGGCATGAAACATTAGAACTTTAAATCACCTGCTTATGCAGCAGGCCCTTAAATATCCTCTGTGGGGAACTTTCTTTTCTCAAATACAAGAAATTTGGAGCTCAGAGGTGGCACGCTGTCCTCTAACGGAGGGCAGGGCCAGAGTCTCTGTGGTGGGGCTCTGCTCAGCCAAGATGAGGCCTGTGTTAGGACAGAACAATGGCTTCACCTGCATTTGGAGATGGATGGGATCTGTCATGTCCCATTGTTGGGATAGCTCAGAGTGAGGGTGGAACCCACAGGCCTTCTTAATCCCAAGTAACATCAGAGTCCTCCTCAGCACAGCTGCCCAGCACAGGGCAACCAAACACATGCCCTGGTTGGAGATGGGAGTCTCTTTCATCAAAGAGAAGGGCTGCTTCTCACTGCCAGGAGTGAGGCAGGGCCGTCTGGGGAGAAGCACCTGTTACAGAGATGCTGTGGCTTCTCACCAGTAGCAGGAATGTGCTCAGGGGAGGGGTCTGACCCAGACTGAGCATAACCACAACAACCTTGGCATTTGGGAGACATCTGCTTATGGCAAACTCCAGGCATTCAACGCAGATGTAGGCATTGCCAGCGGATGCTGATACAGCAGCTCCAACAGACATAGCATTTAATTACCTTTATTTGGGGGAGAACAGGCAATTTCCAGGAACTAAAAACAAGTTAGCAAGCATTCAGCATGGTAACTTCTTATCTTTCTTCACTGTGTTATTGCTGTCCTAATTTTTCATTTCAGGTATTAATATCCCTTTTTCTTTCATATTTCAGTTCATTTATAACAAGGAGCGTTGTTCTTCTCGGAAAATACTTTTTTCTATATTCACGGGGTATATGATTTGTGAGTGACTGTCTTTAAAGCTCATGGCCTTTAGCTTATCTCATTCTGTACTTGCCTATACATCCATTTCATAAGGTGATCTTTTCATGGAGAAGTATACCATTAAAATATTGACAGAATAATTCGCCACTTTTCACATGCTGGGAAGTACTTTTGTGTTTCAAAAGCTTTTCCAGAGTCTGCTGCTGCTTTGCATATCAAAACTGAATGTATTATACTGCTGACATGTTTATTATAGTTGCCCATTTTCAAGAAATGTCATCAGAGCTCTGATTTCTGCTACGTTAAATTGATAGAGGGAGAAAATGTTTCTGTAATTTCTTGTGGTTCTTTTAAATGGCATAAAGGCAGTCAGAAATTTTTATCCTGATTATTTACTTAACACAGAAATATCAAGACTGTCAAGCTTTACCATGCCATTTCCTTTCATTTATTCCAGAGGACTCATTAAGGATCCAATAAAAAGTATCCTGTGAGGTTTTTTGGGTTTCAACTGGCCGAAAAGATTGGCAAGAATTTGCCAAGCATCCTTTATACTCCTGTTTTTCTCTAGTGTGTAAAGTACACATGCAGGGTTGGAATGTGAAGGAAGGGAAGGAGCAGGCAGAAGGAAAGTACGTAATTTCTTATGCTTTGTCTCAGGAATGTCAAATCTGATCTTCCATGATCTTGCTGAAGATTAAATAATAATTAAAAAAAGTCTCAAACCCCTCAACTCTTCTTAGGCCCTTCTTTGTACATTGAGGAAACGTAGATGAGGGCATAAACCATTTTTCTCCTTTTTGTAAGTCACCTTCAACTTAAAGAAAGCTTTTATTATCTGTGAGTTTGTCACAGTTTATTTTGGCAAAATTCAAAACTTGCTTTTTGTAATGTAACCGAGATGACCTTTCTCTTTGATGTTGAAAGAATAACCACAGACCATTGATGCAAGTGAAAGGCACTGACCACTGTGAGATTAAGTCATAGGACAGTGAAAATAGTCCAGCAGTGAATATGGTATACCACTAACTTCAACATTAAAAAGAAAAATGAGCCTTTAGCACCATTTGCAAGAAAGTGCTCTCTGATAATTTACAGTTAGAGTCTGATTGATGAAGGCCATTTCATGTTATCAAAAAAAGTCCCACAAGACAACTGTACATAATTTTGTTGTACTTTGGGTAGTCCATCTTTTTAAGTGGCTGTCCCTCAGGACTGTTTAATCTGAGGCTTCTAAAGGTAGAATTAGACCAAGATAAACCTAAATAATATGTTCAAAACACTTCCTCGACTCATTTTTCTTATATTTAATGCAAAAAAAAAACCCCAAGAAAACCAAACTCATCTTGATGTGGTTGATAAATTGGATAGGTTTTAGCTTTGTTTTCTAAAGGAATTAAGTTTCTGTTGTTGTGCTACTGTAGGCCTGTCTTTCTTTTAGTTATCCTAACAACCTTAGCAATAAGAAATCCTAAAGATGTGAGTTCAAGTGTGAATCCAGAGACAGATCCAATATATGCTCAGGCTGTGGAAACTGGTGAAGTTTAAGGAGCCCCTTTATAAACATCAGAAGGACTCACGGGGATTAAGGAAGGTATTGCTCACCCATGGGAAAAGTCTCCCATCAGAGCTTAGTTGGACAGCAAAGTCAACCAACCACAAGATAAAAATCTAGGCACAACTGTACTTCACTTACTCTAGTGCTCAGGAAAACTTCATAAAATGAAAATAAAACGTTTCCAGTTGTATTTTAAGTGTAATACATATGAAGCAAAAACCTGGGCTCACTGAAGTCTGTTAGGGAAAGTGAATCTTATGAAGCATCTGACTGATGTCAGATGTACTTCAGCAGAGCTGTGACCAGTTAGTACTGCCTAATAATTTCCTTCAGTGAAGAGCTGTCTGACACTTAAATGACAGCAAGGTGGAAACAGAATTGGCTTTGAATTAAAAGAAAAACTGGAAGTTATAGTAAAGTAGTTTTAGTGCTTGAGTCAGGACAAAGAGATCTGAGAGGTAGCTGCTGTGGGGGGTTTTGAATCACTGTTCAGGAATCTCCTCACCCACAACAAGGAGAAAACGGGGTGTAGTCTTTAGGCAGAATTACTTTGGTCACAGTTAGTCACTATCAGCCCCAGTGTGGTACTCCTCAGAGCAGAAGTGTGTTTAGATGAGGAGACAAGTGCTGCTTACTTCATTTGCAGACACAGTCCAGTAGTGTGCACCTTTGTCATGGATTAAATGTGATTTTTCAAGTGAGGAAGATGGGTTGATTTTAGCCTTGACAATCTCAACTATGTGAAAGGAAAACAGAAGATCACCAAAACAAAAGATAAAGTGACAGTAAAATAAACACATGGTGATGCTTCTTTATTACCATTACACACATGATAGATGAGTAAAACTAGGTTATGCTTATATTGTAATGGAAGAAAATAATTGCTGCCTTCAATCAGGAAACCGCAAAGGCACTTATTGATCTGTCATTCTAAGGTTGTGTCTAGGAATATTTAATAAAATAAACAGAGACAAATAACTCTTTTGAGGCCCTGTAACTGTAATATCCTACACCATTTGGCTTAAAATTTTTGGCAGGTTTAAAAATAGCATCACATCTCTGATTAGAAAGGCTTGATGTGGTTTATTTAGATAATCTCACAGCACGGAGATGTTTTTTTGAGTAGAATGTCACTGAATATTTTCCCTAAAAGTCAGGCACCAGAATCCTTCTGATTGGTTCAGTCATTTATTCATCTGGAAATGCTGTATCAGATGGCATACAGCACTCTGCCTGGGCACAAAATCTGTTGCCATCCATACGCAAACTCTTCTAAGGGGTTGTGACATCTCAGAAGAATAAATGAAGAGGAACTGAACGATGGGCAGTGTGAACTGACACCCTATAAAACATGCTTAAACCCTGATAATAAGGTGATAAGCTGCATCTGCATTCCTGTTGTGCCCTTGCTGTCTGTCTGCCAAAAGTCCTGGCAGTACCCTGAGGGTCTCCACTGTGCCTGTACCAGTGGAGTGCAAGGCAGGGCGTGCTCACCGGCCAGCTCCCCTCCACTCTTGGGTACATGGCCACCTACCCACCTGGCCATGGAAGACCTTACTGGGGCAAGTAGCATCTCATAAGTGAGTGCAGGAAGAGTCTGGACTCCAGTTGCGATACATGTGAGACAGGCATGGGTAGAGGTACAGGTATGAGTGTGTAGGGGGTATGGTGAGAGCATGGGTTTGGGTAAAGTTATCTCAGGCTGGACCAGATTCAGTAAACACTGAACTACAGAGGTAAGGGCTGTTCTGTCCCTAGGACTGGCCACAAGGTTATCATCACATGAGAGTTCTTGAGAAAAAGACAAGGCAAGGAAAAAGGCAGGGAGT